GGGGCGAGGGGCCTGCTGAGCTGCAGCCAGACACGGAGAGTGGTGCCAACTGGATTTGAAGGCCCAGGCGGAGGCCACTCAGCAACTGCTGCTCCATCCACCCCCGAGCATGGCCAAGCCCATTCTGCAGGGGGAAAAGCTGAGGCCCAGGGAGCCCCGGCCTGGCCTCTTAGATGGACAGGGATGGGAAAGGACAGGGCTGGCATCCTCCCAGGAAGTCTGGATTCTAGTCCCAGCCTTAATGCAGACCTGCTGGGTGGGCTGGGGTGGTCCCCGTCCTCCAGGCCTCAGTTTCCCTTCCAGACACGCTTTCTGCCTGACCTGGGCAACTGGGACCTCGGGCTCCACAGCCTACCCCTTGCTTCTCCCTTTTCTTTCCCCCAATACCTGCCCCAGCTCGGCTAAGTGGGGTCTTGTGCCCGGCACAATGGAGGGACCCCAGTGGCACTCCATGGATGCTTCCTGTGAAGATCGGCAGAGCTGAGGTCCGGTTCTGAGGCCCACAGAGGCTTCCTGGATGTCCCACTCTGCTCTCCATCCCGGGGGATACCCCCACCAGCAACCACAAACAGTGGTGTCCCCCAAGAGGGCACAGTCCATGGGAGCAGGGGGAGCTGCTTACAGCTGCCACACCGTGGTGCCCAGAACACAGTAGGCACTCAGGGACAGCGTGATGGAGCCAAAAGAGCATGGGCTTCAGAGTCACACCTGGCGTCCAGTCCTGGCTGCACCCCTGACTGCCAAGTGTGGCGTGGGACCGAGGTGTCACCAGCCTCCCAAACCCTGGTTCTCACATCTGTAGAACGAAGAGCATCTGTGCCTCCCAAGGTGACTTCAAGGGCATAGGGTTCCCCACCTGGACCTGGCACCCAGAAGAATGCCAGTAAATGTTGGACGAAAGCTTCTTTTTTTTTTTTTTTTTTTTTTTTGAGACGGAGTCTCGCTGTGTCACCCAGGCTGGAGTGCAGTGGCACGATCTCGGCTCACTGTAAGCTCCGCCTCCCCGGTTCATGCCATTCTCCCGCCTCAGCCTCCGAGTAGCTGGGACTACAGGCGCCTGCCACCACACCCGGCTAGTTTTTTGTACTTTTAGTAGAGACAGGGTTTCACCATGTTAGCCAGGATGGTCTCGATCTCCTGACCTCGTGATCCACCCGCCTCGGCCTCCCAAAGTGCTGGGATTACAGGCTTGAGCCACCGCGCCCGGCCGGACGAAAGCTTCTTCTTCACACCTCCAGGCCTGGCTATAAGCACTGGTTGGGCTAGGGGCCCAGAGAAACAGTGCCAGGCAGCCATGTGTCCCCCAGGTCAGGGCTCCAGAAGCCTTGCCTGGGGCCCCAGTTGTCCCTTGCCGTGGCGCTGGCTCACCAGTAACTGGGACTTTCCTATAGGACGGAAGTGGGGTTGCCTGCTGGGCACCCTGAGAGCTCAGGGGCTTCATCCCAAGCTGGGAAGGATCCTCACCCAGCGTGTGCCCAGAACCTGTCCCAGGGACACCCCAGAGCCAGCACGAGGCAGGTGAGGTGGCCAGACACACAGCCAGTGGCAGCCTCTGAGGGCCTGGGCTGGGGAGACCCTGCTGGCCTGAGCCCCTATTTCCTGAGGACCGCCCGGGGCCTGGCTGCAGCCCTGTCTTCTGCGGACCGAGGGTTTCCATGCTAGGTGGCTAGGCCGCCCACATGCACCAGGGCATCCCCCTGTGTCCCCGGCACGCCCTGTTCCTCGGGGACTCAAGGCTGGCTGTTTGTGGGTCCAATTCACAGAAGCTCAGGGACCACATGTGTGCTTGCCCTGTGCAGCCCACTCCCCACCACCGTGCCTGTCATACAGCAGGTGCTCAGTAAACAGCAGTGGCCTGGGTGGAGAGACACCCAGGCGGTGGCTCCAGCTCGGGGCCCGCAGGCTCTGTCTCCCCTCCCAGAGGCTCACTCCTGGAGAGAGGCCCGCTTGCGTGTTTGTTTGTTGCAGAACTCGGGCCCAATAGACTCAGTGTCTGTCTTCTCTCCTTCTCCATCCCGCACAGGAGCTCCAGGGAGTGACAGTTTCCAGAGATTGAAGGCAAAATTGCTTGAAAGCCTGTGCTTTTATCCTCCAATTTGTAGCCATTTAGCAGGGCCGGGTGGAGGGGCAGCCGGGGCTCTGCTGGGCTGTCGGCACAGAAGCGCCCATCACTGCAGAGAACGGTTCTTTGTCCTTTCCCAGACAGCTCTCAGCTACGGGATCAACACCCGCTTCGAGGCCAGGCTGGGTGGTGGGGGGCCCGCAGGGGAGGCCAACGGCCAGTCTGCTGGAGGAGCCTCAGGGCCTCCCAGAGGCAGGAGGGGCACCCCACTCTGAAAGTGACATCTGCCATCATGGTTCCAGCTCCACTTGGGACTGTGCCCAGTCCCAGAGGCAGAGGTGCACACGGGCTGCGACAAGAATTATGAAGGAAGGCCCAGGTGTCCCCAGTCTTGTCTCTCCCTCTGTCACTAAGAGGGGTCTTGTGTGGCTTCTGCCCAGGAAGAGAAGCTCAGAGGGATCACTTGGGTGTCTGGGAGGCAGTCAGAGGTCCGTGAGTGGGAAGGAGAGTGGGGATGGTGGGAGAAGGAGAGCGGGGATGGGGGGAAGGAGAGCGGGGATGG